TGTTTTTAATGTCATCAATTGTGTCAAAATGATGCCCTTTCAACACTAATTTTAATTTTGGAAACAAGAAAAAATTGCAAGAGCTAGGTCTGGTGAGTAAAGAAGCTGGAAAGGGCAATCATTTGATTTTTGGCACAAAACTGGCAAACTGACAAGGCTGAGTGAACAGGTGCATTGTCATGGTAAAGGAACAATGAGTTGTCTCACCACATCTCTTTTTGTGAATTTTTTCATGCAATTGTTTCAAAACACCCGTGTAATAGTGATGGTTAACTGTTTGACCTTGAGGCAAAAATTCAAAGTGCACAACTCTGATTTTCTAAAGTGAGTGTCATCAGTTGAGGTCAAAGGCTTTCCTGGTCAAAGGTTATCATCAACTAATTGATGACCACTTTTGAATTGGGTAAACCATTCATAACACTGCATACAACCTACAGCATTGCCTCCATAAGCTTAATTCAAAAGTTGAAATATTTTTGTAAAAGTTTTCCTCAGTTTCATATAAAACTTCACGTTGCATCATTGCTCCCATATATCACCATAAGCACTGAAACACATTTCACTCAAAAAACAATAATGTGGCAACAAAGCAAGATATCAATATTCTGAAAAAAAGCAGCTTACTTGGTAGGTTATCACAAACATAATGTTGTCAACTTACAAGACTAGAACTCTCCGTTTTTGCCCAATTCAAAAAGTTCAATTATTTTCTGAACCAACCTTGTATTACATTAGTCATATTAGCTATAAAATATATTAGGAATTAAAATGACTAATACTATATTTATATTAATGTCAACTAAGGACTTATCATATTAATAGGACTATTATACTAGTGAATCAATTTTTGTAAAGAAGGAATTCTTATTCAGAAAAAACAAATTTTTTATTTTTCACCTGTTGTTTCCCTTTGTATTTTATCTTCACGTTGTCTACTATCTGTCTCTGGCTTAATTTTAAAACAAGTATTTAGGATTTAAACCATGTACCATTTAATGTTGATAAGTGCAGACAGATAGCACTGTTAAAAAGGTCCACACATACTGTAACTGCTGACTGGCAATGACTTGATTCAGCAACTTCAATGTCTGGCACCTCAAGTTATTCTCAACTGGGCATATGATAATTTGTGATTATGAGTGATGTTTATTAGGATGTCTCTTATTTCTGACTTCAAAAGTTTTGAATGCTCACCTGCCCATTTTTTTTCCTTTCACTTAAAAACTTCATACTTAATTTTATGGCAATTGATGAATATTAACCTGTGTTGACTTGAACGTCAATGTGTCAAAAACAAATCTAAATGTGCACTTTTCTCAGGCCTGGACTGGTCATTATACGTGAAGCACTGTCAGTTTATGTTTGGTTTCTGACTGTGTCAGATGTATTCGTGCACCTTTACGCTAACATTATGTCATATGAATTATGCAGTCAAAAGGATAGTGTGTTTTTGATAGGAAATGTGAAACATCAAATAATCTGAGACAAACTGCCAAATAGACAAGTGTTGGCTGTTTTATTTTACAACATACAAGAAGTGAAGCTAATTATAATTGAAAGTGCTAATCTTGTAGTTCAGTGCATGATTTTTTGAAAAAAAAGGAGAGAAGGCTATGCATCAAGCTTGATGGATGGCAAGAACAATTTATTCCCTAAAAATGTTTCTCCTAAAGTCAGAACTTAAACTATCAATCAGAGAAGAGAAGCTTTACATGATATTTCTCTGTTTGTTTAACAGTTTACTTCAAACCATGATTTAAGTGCAGTGCAAAATAATAAAAACCATCATTTAGAACTTTGAAATATATTTGAATGGCTTAAGGTAAATCAAAGGATGGCTTAAGGTAAATCAACTTCTAATGGAAAGGAAAATGATAAGAATAATGTTAAGAGATAAAAAGAGAATATTTGAATAAAAGAACAAACAGAAGTAGACAATGTTTTAGTGCATATTAAAAAGTTGAAAGGGAGCTGGGCAGAACATGTAACAAGAACAAATGAAAGATGGACAGAATGGTTGACATTCTAGAAACTGGATCAAGAAGGCAAGGACAGACTAAGATGAGATGGTTCAATAAAATAACCAAAGCAGCAGGAAAAAAATGAAAAAGAAAGGCTCAAGAAAGAGAACAATGGAAAAATCATGGAAGAATCATTCATCCAACGTTGGATAGATAGCTGTAAAGTTCTCAATCAAGATCTCTGGTTCTTGAAGTTGTTAAAATCATATAAATTGATAGATACAACCATTTCTACAGCAGCTTTGAAGAAGCATAGCCAACCTTTGTATTTATCCAAAGAAATGGCAGGTCTATCTCTCTTTGATGACAACATTGACCTTCAAACCAAAAGTAAAATGTTGGTCAATTTGGGCAAAGAACATTGATGTATGGGGAGGAAATTTATTCCTTTGCATGAAAAAATAGATAGCATATTATTTGATAGGTTTAATTTCTTTTTACTGTAGTAGTATACTTTTATTTACCTTGTATAATTGATTTGTTTTTCATCTTAGAGAAAACAACTGATGACTTAGTATCATTTCAAAGTAGAGGATTGTTTACTCAGCTATAAATGGATACAAGTTTTCTCTAGGGATGTCCTTAAATGTGGAAAAACAACACTTCGTATTTAGCAGCCCAGAGAACAGTTAACGTGTTTAGAGCTGTAAATGCCTCTGTTGAAAGAGCTGTTAAATTACTGCCACATTTTCACAAATTGTTGATTGTGGATAAAGAACAAAAGGAGATTGCACTGCATTGTGTGCAAAACCATCAAAGGCCATATCCACATTGCAAAAAAAAAAAAAATTTAAGAGAAAGTATGTACAGTAATTTTTTTATCTTGTAATTGAATGTTACAGACAACTTCTATGTCACAAACTTAATAAAATGTTATATTTCTCCAATGTTATATTACTGTTGCTTAATATCCCCACATCAATCATTCCTCATAATCAAGTTTTGTGCTCAAGTTGACATGGTTAATGTGATCATATCAAGATGAAACTTCATATTTAAGTAATTATGACAAAATGCAAAACATTTATGGAATGAGTGCAACCATTTTGTCAAAAACAATGTTTTTGTCAAAATAAGGGACATCCTAATACAGTAGAGCGTCGTTTATCTGAAAGCTGGTTATCCGAAACGTCCGTTATCCGAAAGCATTCCAGTCGGCAAATTTAAATTTTCGCTAGTGCTGTGGCGCTGCAATCTTCGGCTATNAAAAACTTAACGTAAAATTGATTATGTAATTAGCTACATCATATAAATAATTTCATGATTTAATTTAAATTAATTCATAAATTTTATTTAAGTAAGAAAAATACTCATGTTGTGTCATAAAATCAAATTTTCTTAAAGCAAGAAGGCAGTGAATTCAAAATAATTTAAACAGAAGAGATTGCACACTCCATGAGAGGGAGAAATAGCTTATTGAGTGCTATTTTTGGTCCAGCATGGACCCATTCAAGGTCATTACATTTCTTTCCATCATCCCCAAAACTTATAATGGGAGCAGTGACAAGAAAGCAAGTTATCATCGATGTTTTTGAAAACCTGACTAACTTCATGGCAATATTTTGGTATACTTCTGAAATTCTGTAGGCCATCTGAAGATGAAAATTTGCAGTTAGAGAAAAGACATATCACAAATCATTAATCCATGAAAATTGCAGGATTATTATCACCACATACTGTATGTGGTCAGTAGTGAAGAATACAATGAATAAATATAAATTATTTATTGTATTCTTCACAATGCCACAAGGTTCAAATTATGTCATACATAATATCATTAAGCAAAATGACATGAACACCAAAAATATTTGTCATTTGTTTCCCCCCCCACATCATCAACTGACTGCAAAGGGTTAACCAGATGTGCAGGTCAAAAAAATTGGGAAGGTTGTGTACAGAACACAATTGCTATCATTTATGGCATAAATCAGTCTTTGTATTATTACAGGAAAAATAAAATGTAAACAAATAAAGTCTTGTTAATTATCATATTCTAAGTCAGTATCTATTGGTTCATGCAACAGCACACACAAAGTATTCAGTTGGACTGACACTCAAAGTTGGAGTTGATGCAATCAGTTTCCTTACTCTGTATACAATATGCATTGTTCAGTATTAGTCATTTTGAACTTTTCTGATTCCTTTCAAATTTTTCTTTTCAATGATATATGTTTCTTACATTTCTCTTCGTATTTCCTTTGCAATTTCTTTGACATTAGGAAAGTTTTCTTCAACTCACACAGCTATCAGCTTACAACTTTTCAAATTCTATTTTATTAGTTATTATTGCTGAATAATATTGGAGATCCTGCCATTCTGTAAAGTCAACACCAATTTCAATGTTCTATCTCTTTGCCATCCAAAGTTTCATTGCCCAAACACCGTACTGCATTACCATTTTCAGTTTTTTGCACACAACTGCTTCCCCTCCTCCACAAAGCCTCACACCCCAATACCCACCATTTTAAATACAGAATAAACTCTCTGTCCAACAAAAATTTAAATCATGAGACTATCAATTATAGTTTATGAGATATAAGCATGACAAATCTTGCCGTTTGTTTGGTCGCTCCAGTTTTCTTAGACCTTCCAAAACCAAACCAAATTTAAAGACATGTTAGAATCAAAAAGATAGAGAGCGTGATAGGCAAATTCTGTAGTATTTGCAATTCCCTGACTTTTTCTGCTAATAATCCTATTTCCCAACTTTCCGTGATTTTCCAGCTCTGTACAAACCTACAAACCTTGTAAGTATAGACAATATCTGAAAATGTTTTTTCAAACTATTTCAACCAACTCTAAAAAAGAAAAAAAAAATTGACAATTTTAACAAAATTTTTTAGTTATAAGTTTTTCAATTAACTGTGCTTTATATAATTAACCTACAATAATTTTTAATTATACATTTAAGCATTGTTTTCTTAAAGACCAAATAAATTAGAAATTCTACACAAAATTCTAAATATTACTACAACGTACCATTCTTTGGGCGGTGTGCCACAATGAAGATTTTCTTGTGAACGATTTAAATCAAGTGTCAAAGATGCATTAGATCCTCTCCTATTTAATTAAATAAACATATAATATTAAAAAATGTAAAGAATATGTTTTAATCATTGTATAAATATATGCCTAAAAATCTTTAATATTTTAATAAATAATAGATATCTAATATATATTTAATAGCTTTATTATATGCTATTTATAGTTTCTTCTCCTTCTTCATCTGGTATTATGGACCTTGAAGACCCTTAGTCATAGTCATAATCCTTTTCCATCTCATTCAGTCTATAGCTTGCTTCTGCCAATCTTCAATTCCAAGGTCTTGAAGATCTTCAGTGACCCCATCTATCAACCTTTTTCTGAAACAGCCTCTTGGCCTCTTCCCTTTCCCCTCATAATGGAGCCATCATAAAGCTGTTGCCATTATAGGAAGCCTTACAACATGGCCTGCCATTGTAATATTCTGACCTTAATCACCTGAATTATCATGGGCTTGTTGTTGGTTGTCTGCAGTTCCTGGTTCGTTGTTCTCCTTCATATTGGTTTTCCATTGACCATGATACCATTATCATCATAGTCTTCCACAGGTCCAAAGATTTTCCTTAGTATTTTGTTTTCAAATCTCTGTATTTGTAGTTCCTCCTACTTTGTCATTAGCCATGTTTCACATCCATACAGAATCTCAGGTCTAATCAGCAACTCATATACAGTTAGCTTCACCCTTTTACTAAGGAGTCTACTTTTTAGTATATTTGTGAGCCCAAAGTAGATTTTGTTTCCCTTTAGCAAGCGAGCCCCTATCTCCTTCTTGATGTCATTGTTTCCATTTATGTCAGTCCCTAAGTACTTGAAAAATTCTGTAGTGCTGAATGTCATTATCTATGGTTAGATGTTCTAATGCCAACCATTGCCATATGATAGCAGGCTAATTAACAGCTATAATATTAATGAATTTATAGTCATTAATTAGCCTGATAGCATACAACAATAATTGGCATTACCATTACAATGTATCGGATTTAGTAGAGTTGTTTGGTTAGATATTCTTTGTGGGACTCTCCCTTTTTACAAGTTTATAATTTAATTCAGGGGTGTCCAACCCGCGGCCCGCATGCGGCCCAAGGCAAGTTCCAATGCGGCCCAATAAACGTGTAACACAAATGTTTTAATTTTTTATTATTTATTTATTTCAACGGCATGAACTCAAAAAAAGTTTCACAACGCCGTAAACCTTTATTCATATTTTATTTTTGAGTGGAAAGAAAATATTTTCAAATACGGAGATGTGTGAATGCAGAAGGATTACTAAATAAAGCTGGAGTTGTGACTCAAAGGATTATAGACCCAAATTTGGAGAAAGGAGGGAAAGATGAGAAAGGACAAAAGATGTAGTAGTGAGAAAGGTTAAATAGATATTCTGTTCAGCAAATATGGACTCGTAATTTTTCAACCTTTTATAATTCTTTATTTTTTGTCCTTTGCCTCTTTATCCCGCACTTGGATCTATAATCATTTGATTCGCAACTCCAGCTTTATTTAGTATTTCTTCCAACCTTGCAAGATTTGGCTACATTGGGCCAAATGTGGCTACTTTTTTTGGTTTGACGTAAAAAATATCATTTGGCGCTTTGACTGCTTTTTCGGCTACATATTACAGTATTTATAATTATATTAATTGAATAAAAACGCACTTTAAAATGGCGTTTCATCGCTTTTTATTAATTAGAGACCCAAATAAAACAAATATTTGTGTTTTTGAAATAAATTTTCATTTGTCTCTTTTATAATAAATGAATTTATCTATTTCTAAGTAAAAATTGAAAGTGTCTGTAGAAGTAATTTTTTAAAATATCCTTTTTCGTGATAAAG